CGTGCGTTCGTGGTGTAGTGGTTCTGCACGCTGGGCCGGTATTCCAGATTTACGTGTTCGATTCCCGGCGAACTAACTATGGCGTTTGGGCTTCCCTGCTCCGAGGAAACTTAATCTCACTGCAGGTCGACTCTCCCTTTGGGCACGTCGTGGAGGTTCAACCTCCACTATTACCCTCCAGAAGAGCCGCGCACCACCTGGGGACGGGCCCCAGGCAGCACCGGTCGTCTAATGCTCCCACCAGTCGCTCGGGCGAGCCCGTCGCAGCGGGACATTACCCAGCGACCCCGGGGGATAACCCCCGGGTTACTAGCACCACGCCGCGCTAGAACATGCCAGACTCCGAGGCCGGCCAATAAGTGACCTTTCCCAGAGCCTTCAGAACCACCAAGTTCATAAATTTTATACCCCGTGGCCGAGACTGCCTAGGTACAGATCCTAGCCAGTAGCTTCGCAGAGTTCTCTACGTCGACCCCCGGGGGGGGGATTCTTTACCCATTCTGAAAAGATGTTACTGTTATCTTGGGTCCTCGTTCCAAATCACTTCGTCCTGATACAATGAGGAGAAAGGCATCCGCATATTCCAGTAAGTAAAACCCTTCTTTGCCGTCATAGAGTTGGAATACGGAATTGGCAACAATATTCCATAATGTCGGGCCCAGACACGATTCCGGTGTGGGCAGCCTCTCGTAAGGGGTTTCATAGCCATTTCTCCTCTAAGGTGACCTGTACATATCTATCCTCCAAGAAACTTCTTGTAAGATCCATTAAGGTACCTGTACAGCTAGTTAGTTCGAAGTTGTGGATAATGTCAGGCCACCAGAGAGAAGCAAAAGCACCTTTAACTTCTAGTTCACTTGTTGTCGTGTGTCGATCTTCGCTTCTGTTAGATAAAATGGTTCTTAATAAGTGCTGTAATGCATGTTCTGTAGAAAATCCGCTATCAAGCCATATTCTTGAAAATCGATGCCCTGGATCCTATTGAGGTGAAACAGGAGGCGGGTCAAGACGATCCTTTCTAAGAGTTTTCCAAATGATGGAAGAAGACAAACTGGTCGATATGAGAATGGAGACTTTGGATCCCTTCCTTGTTTTAGGAAAAAAGCTACTTCTGCTATCTTTGTATTCCGGGGAAAGCGACGAATTCTAAGATGTATACTTCGTTATCATGTTTCCACTTAATCATTAAATCTATTTCGGCATTTATCTGAACGCAGAACCAACTTTTTTTTATGTTATATTTTATGTCGTCTACTGTGTATTATGTATTCCTATTGGATTTGAAGGACCCCTTATTTGCATTGTCTGTTATGATGTATCTCTTTTCACACCTATTCACCTAGTCGCCAGCTCGACAGCCTTGTGCCTCCAATTTTAAATGATTCCTTGCCCTAATAGTTCCACTTGCTTTTGAACTATTAAACTTCTTAACTCAATTTGTTTACAAAAATTTATTAAATCTCTATCACAGGTTATTTAACTTTTAAACATTCGAAGTGTACAATTATTCTACAATGGGTAGGGCTTCGAGGCGCAGGTACCCTGGTGTGTGATATCGCTCTTTTGAGTTAGCCCGGCTTTATAGTAATCACGTCCCTGCCCATGAGCCAGTTCTCAGTAACTGTTTTCACGTGAATGACTGAAGACAACTTCATTCCAGATAAATGATCTTTCAATTTCGGAAAAGAGAATAATCACTGGGTGCTAAATCTGGGCTATATGAGGCGCGACTCCAAACTTAAACGTTTGCCGCAATTCTTGAGTTTGGCGAGCATTATAGGCGGAGGATTGTCAATGCTCGAGGATGACACCATTTCTCAACATACCAAGGCGCTTGCGTTGGATGGCTTCATGTAACCTAATCATTATTGTCCATCAGAGTCGCCCAATAACGATCAGCTGTAACAGTATGGACACACTTCAGATATTCAAACAAGACAACGAATCATAGCTCGCACCCGCAAGCGAGACCACTTTTCTAAACGTCATGCCATTTTAGTCGCTCTGACGCATCTGCGAACTTATTTTACCTATCCGCAGAACCATTGCTAGATAATTAGTGCCATTTATCTACACTCTGGTATAAAGTATTCCCTCCGCAATAATTACTTATCAAATGCTGATCCTTGTAACATTTCTTTTGGATTCACCCGCGTATTTGTACCTAGTCTATGTTGAAAGCCTTTACCGTAGTAGCATCAGTTTCATTTAATGAAAAAATATTACAAATTAAAATGCATTTTTCCCTTTAAATCAAATGAGTTTTCAAAATAGTGGTCGTTAGAGGCCTTTTAAAAACGTATTTGAAGAAAATAAAGTCTTAATTGTACATAATACCCAGTTTCCCAAAAATTATTTTGCTGCGAAATCCTGTTAAATTAAACACTTACACCACTACCATTAATCACTAATACAAAACATCTAACCGATAAATAGAGTACAGCTATATTTCACCAAGTTGTCCCTCATTAAAATATTTTTCTTATCTCAGTTATTTTAATTTTCCCACAAAAATAATTAAAATTTTAATGACAACCTCAAAGAAACATGTGCTGTTTATTTTTTTACGAGAACAGAAATTAAATTTGAGTACTACCCTTAATATCTGTTAGTTGACAGATAATGAGGAAATGCAATTCCGTTTTTTATTTAAAAATGTTACCCAAATTTTGAAACATATTTATTATTAAATATTAGAACTAGCTAACGTTTTAACCAAAAGATTTCATTTATATGGAAGCACAATACGAATTTGGTTTGCTATTCCAGCATCGTAGCATTAACCAAAAGATTTCATTTATATGGAAGCACAATACGAATTTGGTTTGCTATTCCAGCATCGTAGCATTTAGCTTTTGTACACTTACGTATAATTTTGTGTGAAACGGTGAATCAATTATCAGACTAAAAATGTTTTATGTTATGTATTCTTTCCTTCTTATTTGTTCTCTATTTATCTAAAATACATAATTTAAAATTTTAGAACAGTTTACATTTTTCATGAATTTTTGTATATTATGCACTATGATTCGTTTAAACGTTTAAAAATTCAAGGAAGGGTAGGTTATTCAAAGACGAATATGAGTTGCATAACAATGGAGGAGAAGAAGCACAGTCCTCATGTGTTAGTGTGCAGAGACAAAACAAAAAAAAACTGAAACAAAGAGTTGTGTGACTAATACTGTTTTAGGAAATCGTTATAGGTTCGATATTCAGTGGTTTATTCGAAGTTACAGCCGCTAGCTATGATACAAGCGTCACAGCATAAAAGCGACATGCAACATAGAATCACGGACATTTTGGAATATATCGGGAGTTTCACGGGGATCTCTCTAGCTACGCTTATACGTGTAAAGAGATCCTTTTCACTGGCCATGGGTTTTGCGTATACCAGGCTTTCCAGGTAATCTCAGAGAAAGAAATTTAGGCACCACAGGTCCGGCGAATGTGCAAGCCAATGTATAGGACCACCACGACCAATCTACCCCTGACTAAATGTTGAATTCAAATGTTGCCGAACTAAAAACGTAAATTGGATTGGGTTGCTATCTTGCTGGGATGACATATCATTGCGCCTTGACTGTTTGATGCTTTGCTCATCTAAAACGCTCGACTAGATTTCCTCCAAGAAACTCTTCCAATACCGCCCGTTCAGACGCACAAGCCGGAGTTACTATATGCCTGTTAGGGGATCCAATGCCCACCCAAACATTGACGGAAAACCGTTGTTATGCTGCCCGCGCTCAGGTACATTTGGAGTTTCCCATACATGTGTGCCAATACATATTGGCCATACACGTGTGTTCACCGATGAGGCATAATTTAACAGCCTGGTGAATAGGATAGAAAAGGAGGAAAATGAAGTTTCGTTGCACATTTCTGCTTGTAGCATTCAGCATATGCAACTCGCGGTGCGTAATTTACAGGAAGCAGTTGTTGTACCAAATGCTCGTGGTATGGATACAAGTGGCTCGAGTGCAGGATTGTCCAGACAATGGTTTGGGAAACAGCGAGGTTTGTAGCAACCGTTTCTGTACTGATATGTATCTGATCAACTGTCCTACTTCAGTTGTCCGCGTCGTTCGTTACTGATATTTTTTATTTTCCCCGAAAGATCCCGTATCGTACAATCTCCATTATCCGAATAGTAGGTAGCTCGAACAGGCGGAATAGCAGTAATACGCTTATTATACCACTCACCCTGAAAGAGCACAGCGGTTAGTCTATTACAGTCGGCCGCTCCATATGCTAGATGTATATTTACTAACTCGGAATGACTGAAACCTTCCATCTTACTTCCTCTGTGGTTGATTATTCATATGCTGAATTTTTTGCAGGGTGCTTTTATCTGTTCCACAATAACGCGCTTCGAATGCGTTTCCAAAGCTAAGTTACTATGCATTTCTGAATCGTCTTTGAGTAACCTACCCCTTCCTGAAGCTTGACGCACTTAAGAGAACCATGTATACTTTTTAATCAAAAGAAAGATATTCTATCTTTTATATCAGTTATAAGAATTTTTTAATCAAAACAAAATGCTTTTCTTAAAAATTGTGAAGAAGACATTTTTAATTACCTTGCTCAGTCTCACCGAAAGTGAAGAGGAAGAAGTGTTTCTGTTCCTTCCAAATAAATCATTTTGGTTTATTGAAATTAGCTTCTGCTGATCGTAACATTATACTTCAAGACACTGAATTCCGTATTTTAGCACAACATACCAATTGAAAAAATGTGCTTAGCAAGCACTTTAGTCCGTAAAAGTCACAAGCATACTCATTTTCATTTCTTGCTGATATCTGTGGGTTTTTAAGATAAATATAGAAAAATTAGATTACATTAAAAATGTAAAACAGCTGTATTTAAGAAATGTTCTTAAAAATGGTATAAGCCCTTGTAAAAAGGAAGTTTTCTTAAAATTTAAATATATTTAATGTAGAAAATACAAATTACCTATTTGAATAGAGGTTTTATATTATAGGAAATTCTTTTCTAATTTTTAGGTGCTGTGGGATGTAAAAGATGCTCATACCATATATTCGATTGGATATGGACTTTCTCTAATTGCACTGGCTATCGCCTTGTGGATATTTCTTTATTTCAGGTATATTTTTATATTTTACTAAAATATTAGTGTACGAAGTAATATCAAACTGAACCTCTTTCTTCTTCAACATCACTAGAGGTTTCATTCCAGAGGTTAAAAGCTCAATTAGTAACCATAATTTTATGAAAATCCTACAGCATGTTGAACAACGTTTTATAGCTAAGCTAGTCTGCATGAATATAAAATAACGAAAATTATGCTAATTAATTTGAAATTTCCTGTCAAGAGAGCAAAAACCTATCAAATTCACGGAAATGATTCAAGTGTTAATATGCCAAAAAATAAAAGTCTCCGAATAACAAAAAAAAAAAAAAAAAGTTGAGAAAAACTCCTGCATAAACAAGGTAAAGATATAAGCTAAATATAGTTTTTTAACTACTTCCTACTGCAAAATTTCGTTTTCCAAAAGCATACTATTTTCCTAATATCGCTTAAAAGGAAAGACAGCAGAAAAATTTATTTGCTGATTTTTATCAAGAGAATGAAAACGCATTTTAAATCAGGAAAAATGTCTTAAAAATTGTCCATGCTAAAGTTCAAAACTTTAAAATGCAATGAAAGCGAAGTAGATGAGAGAATATACTAAATCCTATTCTGCTCAAATATTTTCTAATGCCTAATTTTATTTTAGAAATACATATCTGTTTTTTTTTCTTTAAATTACCAACATTTTTCTTCTTTTAAAATTAAAAAAAAAACTCAAGAACCATTTATATTTTTATTTACAAGGGGATAAAAAATTTTCAGATTTTAATATTCGACTTAAGAAAAAATAAGTTCTTTAAAGTGAAAAGATTATTAAATATGCGGCAAAATAGATTTGGATGCATTGTGGCGTACTCTGGGAAAGTTCCCTTCCAATTCTTCAAAACGTCAATTCAGAGTGATTCCTTTTAGTACATTAATATTTACTTTAATCTGTCATCGTATTAAAATGGCAATTCAGATTATTCGTAATCGAGGGAAAGAGGAAAGAAATAGTTTTTTAATATTAATTTCCTTTGCAATACTTTACATTCTCCGATTTTATAAAATACATATTAACCCTGAAGAAAGCTTTTAAGGAATTGTGTACTTCCACAGAATTTCTCCAATTTCTTCGTCAAATTTATTGCTGCCAAAATTAACTAATATGTTGGGAAGAAATGTCGTAACATTTAATTTACCCTGAAGTGGAATATCTTTGCTATTTCCAACAATTACGCATTCATAGAAAATAATTACATTTCATGTTAAATAACCAAGTTATCTTTACTAAACAATCAATTTAGAAAAGCAATTTTACTTAAGAAATTGTATAATGTACCGTGCATCTTTCATTAAACATGTTATGAAGCTTTACATCCCACGCTTGCCATATTTAGTTTCCATCCTGTTTTATAAATTTTAACGATGCGTAAAGACAAATATTATGGATTTAAATAATAAATCGTGCATAGTTTTTTACTGTACTGTCAGTGATTTTCCAATTATTTTAAGAATTTAATACATGGAAATTAAATGCGTTTGCACAATTAGTGTCAAGTGAATCATGGTACATCAATAAGAAAAGGGAAAAAAGTAATGTCATTGTCTGAATAATTTTTAATGTCTTATTCAGCTTAGAAGAAATTAATTTTGTTTGAATAGTTTTTTTAATTATTTCTAGCATGCATTTCTTGCATTTTAATTATTTCATCATTCTTTACCCCAAGATGGCGTTAGCCCCCAAGGCCTATTATTGTCGAAGCGTCATTTTGCGTCGATTTACTATAAATGTCCTTTCTACTTTTCAAATTGTTGCCTCCAAGTATTATCTCCTTGTATTATATTTACATAAATTAAATAATGAAGAAACTGCATGAATATATGTATGTTTCTTGCACTGTGAAATAGCTACGCTACCTAAAGATATCAAATTTTGAATAACGTAGTCCTCCACCCGGATATGGGCACCTGGAAGCCCGAATTTGGAATTTCGAATTTTTTATATTGTTTATTGCATAATTTGTAAAACTTCAATGTATTTTTGATTAACAAACTCAACGATTTCAAACCCAGTAGTGGCAACACTGTACAAAAAAAAAAAACATTTTATCTCCAGCGCACGAGACTGTCTCTCGGAAATTCTAAAGATGTGCTGTTTTTAGATATTTTTGGTCTAAAGGGAGATTAGTCCAAATGCTCTCCAATCGTGTATGGGTGTATATATGAAAATAATGCCCCTGTTACATAACATAAATATACTGTTTTAAATTTATATTGTTGCACGCTTCTTTAAAATTGGTAATGTAAACTTTAAACTAATGGAACGAAATTTAGTAAAAGCTAATGAAACTGCCTAGGGGTCATATATGGAGCAGTTTATTTCTTGTAACTAAATATTTATTATTAAGTACACATATAAATTACGTAGACATAAAAATTGTGCATAGGAATAAGTAGCTTTCAAAGCAGACAAAAACTAATAACTAAGCCAAGTTCTGAATTTCAAAGTAACCAGAAACACTCCATAGGGCATCTCATACTCTGGTGACTATTTATTGGGTACATTTGTAGGTCTAAAATACTGTTGCGTGCGTACGGCTCGTAATAGATTGAATGCACACAGTTCCGATGGCAGGTTGATAAAATTTATTTTATCAAACGAAACTCTTCAGAGTTCTGGAACTTTCCACAGAAATATTCGTACAGATGTTAACAGTATCACCGAGTACAGTCAGTAGTTACACTTCACATTACTAGGAACGTGAAACACTACGCAAGCAAAACGCATCTGAAAGACGAAGCTTTCAATTCTCCGAAATCGCTCTGAACTAACACCTCACAACAACAACTACTCCGAGCAGATGCTCTCTCCGGCTTTACATAGTTTTCACCCGACCGAAGAGATTTTCGAGTACTTCCTGCTTCTTAAAATTTTTCACCTAATCTGGAAATCTTTCTGCACTTAAAATCAATCGCAGTTATTCAATTGCAATAACTATTATGATGATACAGTGACCGGACAAAATGTCACCAAATGCTTGCCAAGTTCGGCGACTTTAAAGAATTTCCTCCCAAATTTGGCAACAAAAATTAGTCGCTTGGCGATATTTGGGCAAATTAGCGAGATAGCTATTTACTCAATGTTAAATAGATATTGCCCCTGTATACTTAATTTTCCGACAAGCTTCGCTCCTGTAGATTTTCATGTTACATCATAAGAAAGAAATACAAACATCTCAGATATAATTTCACTAAAATTATCTATCCACGTACAAAATTGTTTAGCATTCAAAAATTCAAAATGTAAATAAACATATGCTTTCTAGTGCCTAAAAACGAATTTGTAATTTACTTTACTATTACTTACGAAAGAAACCTGTATATTTAATAGAAAATAAATTGTTTATTTGTAGTAACGTTCTATTACGATTCTAAACAACCATTCAAGCAAAATAAATTGCATCTTGGGTATGGCATTCAATATTTCAATCCTACTACATTTTGTCTCAAATTTAAATACATAAATATAATTGCTTTTTTCAAGATTTGTATACGCATAGTGTTTCAAAATTAATGGAACAAATTTTAAAATGTGATAAAATGCAGTGAAAAAGTACTTTTCTGCGTTAAGAATGCATGATCGTGTGTTAAACGGTTAAGCGCTGGGGTGCGCTTTCCTTTTTCTCCACACGCCATCTTTCGCTAGCAAAGGGAAGAATGGCACAAGTAAAAGAAAAAAAAAAGTAAATCAGACAACGAAATAGACAAAATAGTAAGACACACAACGCGAACAAATATTTGGTACCTCTAAGTTAAATGGAAGTTGCAGAATTCAAATAAATTTAAAAATTACATTAAATTTATAAACGCAATTATGGAAGTTCGCATAAAGAACCATCGATCGCTCCTGGCACACTCTTCGCACTGTCGATGTAAAAGTGTTCGCATATTCCCGAAGCGCCTAGCCATTTTTGTGAGATCTGGAGGAACGATTGAAAATTTGACAACTAGCTTGAGAAAAACATAATGCTTGAGGACAACGCATTGTCTCCAAAAACGAAAACTTCAGGAGGGACAGATGTCATAAGCGTGGAGGCCCAGCGATACGTCTGTCTACTTCAGACTCTCCACTGGCCTGGAAATATAGCTTTCTAGTGACCATATGTTTAAGTGCTGAAATGCAATCGCATCATACTAAAACCGCATTTGTTTTCAGTGGAGGGTTTTTAATACACGCACTATCAAATGAAGCAGAAGCAAGAAAATGAGATATGTCCTCCGTTCCTGATGTTCCGTTAAAGATATCATCTTTTTCAAGTAGTCGTAAACAATAACCACCCAAATATTTAATGAGAGCGCTAGCTGATAGGAATGCTGCTTTGTTATGTGCGAAGTATCGTTAGCCGCACATACGCATTGTGGGCATCAAATACGCTCTCACGGAAAAAGATGGTTTAATTTCAAGTAACCTTTTGCACAAACCACTTCGAGAATTTATAGTTATCACACACAGGTTTTAAAGCACAGCTTTTTTACGGAAACTTTTTGAAAGTCAAGTCGCGTACAGCGATGAAGTATTATTATTCAAACATTAACAAAACTTTCATTCTAAGAATATAAAATCTAGCTTCATTTCTTACAAAATAATTTCATACCAATAACATAATAAGTTCAAAATAAATTTCAGTTGTAAATTACATTTAGTAAATTAATAGGATAATATACAAATTTCTAAAAGAAGAATGATTATGGCAAAGCCTCGAGGGCCATCTGCCTAAGGGAAAGGATGCCTTCGTGGGTGACTTTCTAATGGAAACTGGCTCATATACACGTTACACACGGGGAAAACCCCGAAAACGCCTATGCAACCAGAACGTTAGCGGGATTCGAACCTCGGACCGGACTACCAGTGTTGCCTTTACCGCTCGGCCGCTGGTGGGCAAAAGAAAAAAGGATTAGATCGTTTTTAAACATTTTTAACTGCGGTTTCGTGCAGCTTTTTAGTGACCCATACGCTCCAAATTTGCAAA